CCTTCTCGTGGAAGAGCTTTGCAGATGCCTGGCCGATGCCTGAGCTGGCGCCGGTGATGAAGATGGTTTGCGTCATAGCTAGGAATCTAGGGAGGTTGGTTGGGGGGAAAGTGTCAGGACATGAATGTGTTTCTGAGGCTGAAGGCTTTCGTACAGATGAGGATGAGATGGGAAGACGGTGACAAGGCGACAGATGGAGGTTTCCTTGTGTCGCTCATTTTGCCTACAATATATACTAATATTACTCTGTAGTACGTGCCGATCCAAATCGTCATGCTGCACCAGGCGCTACCCGAGTCTAACCTTGGCATCGGCTGGCTCATGGGTATATTCACGCTTTCGGTCGAGGAGTTTAGAGCGACTCCGTACATCAGATGTAAGTGGAATGTTCAATGCGATGGGAGCGTGGCGAATCTGATCCTTCAAGTGAGACCGTGTTTGTCGGTTCTATGTCCTCCGTCCCTGACCGCGCAAGAAAGAAGCGTGGCTGTTGTACTACGCAAGTCATTTCAACGCACTGATCCACGGCGATGGTCAGCAATAGCTGACAATGCCTGTACTCGCTTATTTCGAGATTCCATCTGGATGACGCCGGACCACCGCTCAAGGAGATCCATGATCCATCCCTTTCTCGAAGTCCCCGCCACCGTGTTAGGGCAAGAGTCATCAATCAGCTCGGACACACGCCTCGTGGAGCCCAAAACCAACAACTGTTCGTATATCTGCAACGTATACGTGACCCGTCTCCAAAGGGACGGCTAGAAGCAACATTCCAGTGTATGAGCAGCTGCGCGACTTCCTTTGAGCAAACCTCGACACCACGCTATTTGAGATATCGCCGCAAACGTGCAATGCTTCCGGATGGACTTCCCTATTCTCCACACTGTACGCGGTGACAAGCGATTACGGGAAGAACGAGCGCATAGTCTTCACATACTCCTCATCGCTCCCCGACGAGTCATACCTCGCCTCCACACACCCCCTCACATCATTCCCAACCACCAGATACCTCAACCTATCCCTCCCATCCGTCGCCGCCTCCCACACCGCCCCAGCTATATCCTTTGCAGTAAGGTTCATCCCCGCGAACGTCTCCACAAACGCCTTTTTCGTCTTCTCCACAAACGGCTCGTACGACTCGGGGGGTGGAAGCGCCCCGCCGGTCTTAGAGTCGAACGAGAAGTTTGTGGCGTTGACGCCCCCGTGTGGGACGACGCTCTCGACGAAGACGTTCTGCGACGCGAGCTCGATTCCGTGTAGCCCTCCAGCGCGAATTTGGTGGCGGTGTAGATGGAGATCATGGGGAGGGCGTAGAACCCTGAACCGGAGCTGACGTTGATTATCCCTCCGTCGTTGGTTTCCCGGAGATGGGGTAGGAGGGCACGTGTCACTGCAAATTCAATTCCCTGTCAGCGTGAGGTGGAGACCAAGACGCATACATACTCACCGAATAAGTTGACGTCGAATTGGGCTTGGATGACTTCGCGCGGGACGGCCTCGAAGACGCCGCTCCCGCCGTACCCTGCATTGTTGAGCAGGAGGTCGACCTTGTGGAATTTTGTGATGGCTGCGTTCATTGCGTGCTGGATGGAGCTTGGATCCTGGATGTCCAGGGGGTGGATGAGCATGCGGGCTGGGTCGAGGGTTTTGAGGACTGTGTCCTTGGAGGAAGAGCGCATGGTGGCGACGACGTTCCAGCCTTCGTCGAAGAAGAGCTACGCGGAAGAGAGTCAGATACCTGAGCTGGCTCCTGTGATGAAGATGGTTTGCGGCATGATGATGGGCCTGGAGGATGGGTGGGATGAGCATCGGATGTTGGATTTGATATGGCACCGTTTTACCTGTTGGTATAAGGAGGGGAGCGAAATGCTGGGAGTGGCTTGGAAAGAAGTGACTGCTGTTATGTTCAAGCAGGCAGCGTAGACGATCCTTGATATACTATTTTGGTCGTGCCGAGATTAGTCGTCATCGGAGGGCGTACTGGATGTGTCACCGCAGCTGGCTTACGCGTACTCCTGTTCTTTCAACTGGACGTGGTCGCTGGACAGCAAGACCTGAGAACGGAGATGGTGTCGATACCGACATCGCAGGAGTCATAAGCGGGATTCCCTTTGCTGTACCAGCTGCCATCGAGGGTAACTGTGGACTCGCCATGCGAAGACATGAGCTCCGCAGGTCAACTAAACACGATTAAGAACAGGAGTAGGTGTTGGTTCTCTCAAAAGTAGCCTGCAGTGTTTTCCATAGAATTGAGCAATTCGTCTTTGGAGAGACGATGATGATGGAAGTCGAAGGACGATGAAGGAAATAATAAAGCCACATGGCACTGCCACCGAGATTATAATTCCGATCACCCCTATGCCTCGCGCCAGCCATGCATTCACGGAGCTTGCCTCTTATATAAAACAAATCTCCGCTTCCTATCTCTCTTTCTTTCCCCCATCATCGCGACAAGAACGAAATGCCCGTCTCTGATGCGATACTGACGCAGATACTAACCCAGCTCGATGCCATGCAGGTATCGCAGCAGGTCATGCAGGCTAAAGTGAATATCTCCCCTTCACGTTGCCTCGTGCATTCCGATAACGATCATCTAGTTGGATTCGATTACAGGCGTAGCGAAGACTGCGACGCCTCTCGAGCCCAAGGCCACCCATGCGCGTTCGACATCCACAGTGTCCATCTCATCAGATGCGCCTATTAGCCCCGTCGACATGACGAAGCCGTCTTTAGCCTCTGCAGCACCACACGTAGAGATACCCACAGCTCGGATGATCGGAGTGACAGAGAAAGAAAGAGAGAGGCTGCTATACCCCGGACGAGTGAACCTGACCAGTACGTCCCCTCCCCAACACCACACAATCCCATCACTGACCCCCTCCCCAGCATACCCAGACCAACACGGAATAACCCCCCACCCCCTCAACTGGGGCGCCCCCGACGGCGCCACCCGCGGCCCCATCATCTGCTCCCGCCTCACCACCTCCATCAAGCACCGCAACGCCATCGGCGCGCACTCCGGCTCCTACTCCATCTACCGCGCCCTCTCCATCGCCATGGGCTCCCTCTCCCCCACGCACAAGCCCGACTACTCCCAAACCGAGCCCCCCGTCGACATCCCCCCGCAGCCCTCCTGGGCCGACCCCTCCCAGATCGTGTCCTTCGATCCCTATGGACACCTCGTCCCGCAGCTGTTCCGTAGGGAGATTGAGGAGGGGGGGCTGGATATAAGGCCGAGCATTGCGGTGACGAAGGCGCATTTGAAGATGAGCGAGCTGGATGAGAGTGCGCGGAAGGGGGCGTTGAGCGTGGATGGGAAGATCGTGCTGAAGAGCCCGCCGGCGCATAATGCGGATGGGTCGGTGAGCGAGGCGTATAGTGGGGTGGAGGTGTTCACGAGTAAGGCGGCGGTGGAGCCGGTGTGGTATCTCCCTGGTGTGGCTGAACGGTTTGGCATGTACGTCGTCCGTTCCTTTTCCACCCACCCTCGGAACTTTCGTTGACTGCGGTGACAGATCCGAGAGCCTGCTAAGACGCGCCCTGTTCGAAGACACGGGAGGAATGTACCCCGAGCTCATCACGCGTCCCGATATCAAAGTCTTCCTCCCCCCTATCGGAGGTCTCACCGTATACATATGTGCGTCCTCATCCTCATCCCCTTTACACCCTCATACCCCCGTCCTAACCTACGCGTGTAGTCGGAAACCCCGCATATATGTCCGATGAGACCAAGGAGCTAACACTTCGCGTGCACGACGAATGTACGTCCCGGCTCATTTCATGGGTACGCCGGCTCATGGATGACTCTAGGTAACGGCTCGGACGTCTTCGGCTCGGACATCTGCACGTGCAAGCCCTACCTCACCTACGCCATCGAAGAATGCATCCGCGGCGCGCAGAAAGGTACGTCCCCCCCTCCCCCTCCCCCCCCCCCCCCCCCACCACCTCACCCACCTTACCCTTTACCACACCCAGGCGGCGTCGGCGTCGTGGTGTACTTCCGCAAGGAAGGCCGCGCGCTCGGTGAGGTGACCAAGTACCTCGTGTACAACCTGCGCAAACGCGGAGGCGACTCCGCGGACAAGTACTTCAAGAGCACGGAGCTCATCGCGGGTGTGAAGGATATGCGGTTCCAGGCTCTGATGCCGGATGTGTTGCATTGGCTTGGGATTAGGAAGATTGATCATATGGTTTCGATGAGTGATATGTACGTGTCTTTTTTTTTTGGCTTTTTGTTCTTTTTTTGGTTTGAGAGGGTGCGGGCTGATGGGGGATTTTTTGGGGGGGATAGGAAATATGATGCGATTGTGAAGAGCGGGATTCCGATCCTGCGGAGGTATGATATCCCCGGTACGTCCCCTCCTCCCCTCCTCCCCTTCCATAACCCTTGTCGCTGACGGAGGGGTAAAGACCATCTGATCCCACCGGACTCGCGCGTGGAGATCGACGCGAAGATCGCGGCGGGGTACTTTTCGAGCGGGAAGCAGGTGACGGAGGCGGATCTGATTAAGACCGTTGGTAGGACTTGGGAGGAGGCTGAGCATTAGTGCAATTTTGGGGATTGGCTGATCTTGTTCGTGTAGGTTGTGTTAGGTGGGGGATGTAGACCGCGGTGTTGTGTTGAGAGCGGTGTTGTTGTATCATAGGAGTGTAGGAGTTTTGTAGATTAGATGATAAGAGAAGATGATTAGGGTTTGTGGCAGTTCTTGTCTTCGTGTACTACGGACCGATCTTTCTCAGAGTATTAGGACCAATGATGGATCGTGGAAAGGCTGGTACCAAAAAGTATAGAATGGGGAAAAATGCTAGATATCCATGAACGTGCGAAGGGTCTCCTAGAGTTCGAATATGGGTGTCGGGAAATTCGCGAAGAAAACCTAGAGACATCTGCGTTCCTCGTCATTCAAAGTACTAATTGATATAGGCGGCAGAGTCCAGACCACTCGCGTTGAATTAGAATACCCACTCAGGTCACAGGTGAGGCCGGGAGGAAAAAATAACTCTCTGCCTGGGAGTCGAACCCAGCTTTCGCGCGTAGTAGCGACGCTGTGACGACGATGACAAGCGCGTGTACTAACCGATATACTAGCAAAGACATACTCGACACTTGGGATATGAGCATGTCGGATGCCTGCTACTAATGTTTTTTTGGGTGGGGGTCTGGTGACGGCAGAATACCAAATGGCAGGTCTACCAGATGAGCATGGAAAGACATGCCCCTTCTGTTCTGACATGAGTAACCCATTTTGGGGTGCCTCCGCCTCCCTAGCCTTTTTTCGGAAGTCAGTGGCTTGATATATCGCGGCATGACGATGTGGTTAGGACCAGCCGGGTTGAAGCCTTGCAGAAGCGCCGGATGATGTGCGAGGACGCATCGAAAAACGGAGAATTCAAGCGCTGGCATGATGTTCCACCACAGCAAATAGGCCCCAAGTCCCCGTAATCCTGACGAGGCGCTTGCACTACAGAAAACTGTAGCATCTTGCAGCAGTTGTAATAGGCTCTGGAAAGATGAGCAGCTATATAAATAGTTGACTGTTGAACAAGCGCCATTCACTAACTGTGTACAAAGAACAATCCGGATGATCTGACAAAAATTTTGGTACATTGCCAAGGCTCTGCCAGGGTTCGAACCTGGGTTTCGAGAAGTCAAGAACGTGTCAAAATCTCGAGTGATAACCACTACACTACAGCGCCTCATGCCTCGCAACTGCCATCAAACCTCTATCACGGATCGAACCGAGAGGTCCGCGGCCGACGACAGCTGGCCACAGGGTTCGAGAGGTAGAGCTTCAGTTCAGGGGCCACCCAGATCGATAATTTCAAAGAAAGCCCGAAGACTTGGATAAATTATAAAATACACTTTGATTTTTTTTTGGTTGTTTACAGCTACACGCGTCGAGATACAGATACAGAAGTCCAAAAGAAAAGAGAGCAGGTAATACAACTCGAGGAGTGAGCAGGGGACGGCATGGGTTTCATAAAAGGAGCATAGGGGCATAGTGGCATAGGGGAGGAGAGGAAGGAGAGCATGGGGTGTAGTCATCTAGAAGAAGAAAGAATAGAAGTTTAAGAATAAGAATACCTCGACGCGGTAGCTGAATGTCCATCTACCCCATCCCAACCTACTCAACAGTCCTCTCAAACACGTACCCATCCCGATCAGTCTCCGGCACATCCTCGAACGCCCACCGCATCCTGATGTTGGCCACAAGCTGCCTGGCCTCCGCCGTCGCCTCGTCGAAATCCTCATCATCATCGATCGCGCTCAGCACATTCGTGAACCCCGAAAAGGAACGCGAACGGCGGAGCTGCGCGCGGTACTCCAGGGCGTCGGAGGTGCTGGCTGAGCGCTTGGGTCTGCCGGGGGTGAACTTATGTTCGGTTGGCGCTGCGGAGTTGGTGTTGTCAGCGTCGGTGGTGGCGCGGCGGCGGTTGCGACGGCGAGAGAACATGGATGCTGAGGAAGGCTTGATGCGCTCCGCAGGGACCTCCGCGAGGGTGGTGGAGCCCGCTTTGACGGTGGCGAGAGCGATGGGGGTGGGGCTGGAGACGGAATCCTTGCGGTGCAGGATGTTGGAGACGGTCTTCCGGATGGCTTTGTACGAAGGCCAGGTACGACGACGCGTCTTGTCCTTCTCGCCTTTGCCACTGACCCCAGCAGCAGCGGTGAAGCCGTTCTGGGCTTGGAGCCTGAGCTCATGGTTCTCCCGCGCGAGCTTCATGTCCTCCGCGTGCATATCCGCGTCGGAGCGGCGGACGATGCGCATGCGGCTGGTGGTGGTGTACGTTGAGGGCGCGAGGCTGCGGGTGTCTGTGTGCGCGGAGGCCCAGCGGTCTGTGTAGGCGAGGATGTCGTCAGTCGCGGGTGAAGAGGATGCGTCGCTGTCTTCCTCGCTGGAGGAGGAGGGGGTAGGGCAGGGGCCGAAACCACTGAGGACGCCCATACCAGGGAAGTCGTTAAATTGGTAGCCGGACCACTCAGCGGAGGTTGGGCGGGAGCGGACGAAGACGCCCTTGATGGAGGAGGTGGGAGAGAGAGGAGCTTTGAGGTCGTCGATGGAGCGGGGGGAGTAGATGAGCACGGAGGAAGGGGGGACGGTGAGGTTTGGAGGGGACATTGTGGTTTAAGTCGTAGGGTGGATGAGTGGTAGTAATGGTCTGTGAAGGTACGATGCAGCGATGGGGTGCAAGCAGGGTGGACCAGGGGATTTTATACCATGAGCCTAAGCGGGCCACGCGAGGCTCTCTTGTCCATGGTACACTTACCAAAGCGGGCAATTCGACGGACAATGCCATAATGGACGCGGCGGTAAAAGCTGCCCTAACCGTGTGATCCTGGCCACATCTAATTAGCCCCGGGGATAATTGCACGATAGTAACTCAGGCCGATGCCATTGTGAGTTCACCAGGATATTCTGGCCAGGACCACGCATGTCATGCCTGCGTAATAAAAATGTCACTCAGAATAGAATACAATGGCCATGGGCTATGAAAAGCGGTAGCACCGTTGTACCACTGCTCCTCATCCCATCCGGAGACACCGACATCGTCCTAACACTGCTCGCCTTGATGACCACCTGTGGATAGTTCAGTAACATGCTTCAAGTAATTTGGGAGGGTGTACACCGAGTGACGACGGGCATGGGCAGCACCAGTAATACGGGCCAAAGTCGGGTCAAATACTCCGCGTCCGTTAGCACCACATTCTATGGTCGTAGCCGCCGTGCCTCGTGTTAGTGGGTAGTCCCGAAGCGCTTTGATCGTCGTCCCTCCATTGTTCCACGAGGCAGGCCAGCCTGACGGTATTTGTCGTCGCTTTGGCACCGGCTTGAGGAGAACATTCTAACAGCGAGTATATTTTTCCGACTGGGTATTGGTGCCAGTGGTGCCGTAACGAGGCTCTTCCGGTTCTGACCATCGAGATGTGACGTAGATGGACCCAGGAGTCAAGGTTCTTCTGAGTACTTCAAAACAGAGAGGTTATAGGTCGGTCAACAGATTAAAGGGGGGTTGTCTTCTGGCTGCCAGGTCGGGTGTAGTCACGTAGTGTACATTCGATACTCTCGAAAACCAGGATGAAGTACAAAAACAAGTGCGGTCGTGGTCTCCGAAGTATCTGGACATCAAGGTTGTGTGTTGACGATTTCAAAGCGACATAGTTGAACCAGCAGTCAAAGCGGAACAGCGCCATTGGGTGATCGTGGGAATCCCGCCCTCCAAAAAAAATTAGTGATCGAGACGGGTGCAATATCTCTTCTAGACGTCGTTGACCTCGTCCCTCGGCTTTGCTTTCTTGTTTTCCTTCTCCCCTCGAATCTCGGGTTTCTGGCATACCTTACATAGGAAAACATTCTCTGGGATGAGGAAACAGCTTGACCCCCGCATACCGATCTTAATCAACAACAATGTCAAGAAAAATCATCGCTCGTTCATAGTCTTGGTGGGAGACAAGGGGAGGGACCAGGTGAGCTTGATTTTCTCGGTGTATCTTGGCAGAAAATTGACGTATGAAAGTAGATTGTCAACTTGCATTTCTTGCTCTCGCAAGCCCGTGTTTCGGCTCGACCTTCCGTACTTTGGTGTTACAAGAAAGAGCTTGGATTTACAACGTGAGTCATGACCTCCTCCTTATAAAGTATAATGCGCTGACGTGTGCTATTAGGCATCGAAAGAAACGAGAAGCCAAAATAAAAAGGGATGTGAAGCGCGGCATCCGGGAACCGAATGAGCAGAACCCGTTCGAGATTTTCGTCACGGTGACGGACATCCGATATACGTGCGTTGCTGTTGCCTTTACATCTCACTCACGCTGATAGAAATGGCGCAGATATTACAAGGAATCGCAAAAGATCCTTGGAAACACCTACGGCATGCTGGTCCTTCAGGACTTTGAAGCCGTCACACCAAATCTCCTTGCGCGAACGATAGAAACGGTGGAGGGTGGAGGATTGGTGGTCCTTCTTTTGAAGACGATGTCATCGCTTAAGCAGCTCTATACGATGACCATGGTGCGTCCTTCGCGTTAAGCTCAGCCTCAGACACTGACTTCATTGTAGGACGTCCATGCGAGATACCGCACATCCTCCCATGACGCTGTCGTCGCTCGCTTCAATGAGCGCTTCATATTATCCCTCGGATCGTGCGACGACTGCCTCGTCCTCGACGATGAACTCAACGTTCTCCCCATTTCTCGTGGAAAGGACATCACAGCTATCGAAGATGCACCTGGCAAGAACAAAGTGGTGGAGACCGAGCTGAAGGACCTCAAGTCTACGCTCGAAGAAACAAAACCTGCCGGCGACCTCGTCAAACTTGCCAAGACCATCGACCAGGCCCAAGCCATCTTGACCTTCATCGATGCCATCGCCGAGAAGACCTTGTCGTCTACCGTTACCCTTACCGCAGCTCGTGGGCGAGGGAAAAGTGCAGCCCTTGGTCTGGCGATCGCTGCAGCCCTGGCTCATGGGTACTCAAACATTTTCGTAACAAGTCCAAGCCCCGAGAACTTGAAGACTCTATTCGAATTCATATTCAAGGGCATGGACGCGCTTGGGTACGAAGAGCATCTCGATTACGACATCGCGCAGAGTACAAATCCCGACTTCAACAAGGCGATTGTGAGGGTGAATGTGTTTAAGGATCATCGGCAGACGATACAGGTGCGTTACCTTCGGTTTTCTTAGGCTGCCTGTTACTGACTATCTGCAGTACATCCAACCTGAGGATGCCCACGTTCTAGGCCAAGCCGAGCTCGTCATCATCGACGAAGCCGCTGCCATCCCTCTACCCCTGGTCAAAAACCTCATTGGCCCCTACCTGGTCTTCCTCGCCTCCACTATTAACGGCTACGAAGGCACCGGTCGCTCCCTCTCCCTCAAACTTATCCAACAACTCCGCGAAAGCACCCGCCCCTCCCTCACCAAAGACGTCACAGGCACCCACGCCGAGGACGACACAGCCCCCGCCTCCTCCTCCTCCAAAAAAGCCATCCACAAACCTGCCCCCAAAGCCCGCTCCCTCCGCGAAATCAAGCTCGAAACACCCATCCGGTACTCCGCCGGCGACAAGGTCGAAAAATGGCTCAACGGCCTCCTCTGCCTCGACGCTTCGATCCTCCCCAAGGCATCGACGCAGGGCACCCCGCACCCCTCCGCCTGCGAGCTCTTCTACGTCAGCCGCGACACCCTCTTCAGCTACCACCCCGCCTCCGAAGTGTTCCTCCAACGCATGATGGCGCTATACGTCGCGTCGCATTACAAGAACCAGCCGAACGATCTGCAGCTCCTCTCCGACGCGCCGGCACACCACCTCTTCGTGCTGCTCCCTCCGATACGGGATGATGAGAGCCATCTCCCCGAGCCGCTGGTGGTGCTGCAGGTTGCGCTGGAGGGGAATATTAGTAGGGAGGCGATTATGGAGGGGCTTGGGCGGGGACTGAGGGCGGGTGGGGATATGATTCCGTGGTTGGTGAGCCAGCAGTTCCAGGAGGGGAGGTTTGGGGCTCTTAGTGGTGCGAGGGTTGTGCGGGTTGCGTGTCACCCGGATTATGCGAATGTACGCCTCTTATTCTTCTCCGTCTGGCGTCTCCTGATGTGCTTCCTTTCTTTGTAGATGGGCTACGGCTCCCGTGCCTTGCAAGCCCTCAATGCGTTTTACAGCGGGGAGTACTTCAATCTCGACGAGTCGACGAGAAT